GAAAAATAAAAAAAAAAAAAAAAAAAAGGCAGGTGAAGCTGTTGTGAGGAAAACAAATAGCTAAAACAGAGTGAGACAGGAGCACTTCCATTCCAGAAATACACATTTGATACAGAGAAAAGTGATGTGAAACTAGCTTTAGGAAAAATGGATTTAAATTTTGCATTTCCTTCTTAAATGACTTGTATGACTTTCAGAGAAAAAAATTTAAGAGATTTTTGGTATAGGGCACATGCACTCACCAGAGACAGACAGAGACAGAAAGCAAGAAATCACCCTCCCCCCAAAGGCGGTGGTCACACTACAATCCCTCCTCCTCTCAGGATTTGGGGCATGCACACACACGCCCCACAAGTTTCAAGCTACTAGGTCCGGGACTCAAACTGCAGTTGTCTATGTGGGAGTCCAGTGACATCACCACTATACCACCTGCTGACCCCTTGTATGACTCTTTAAAGCTCCCTCCTCTCAACTGCCACATGCCCGGCTCTAGGCTAAGTGCTTTCTGTGCATTTCAACTTCACAGCCAACCTCTGCTCTAAGTACTACATAGTCCTGGGCTGTTTTACCATCATGGAGTGGACACAGAGATAAAAATCAGAAGAGCTTAAGGCAAGATTTTTTAAAATTCCCATTTATATAAGAACTTTTTCTAACTTCCGCTGACCTCAAGTTAAGCTACCAAAAGAGAAAGAAAACAGAAATCTAGAAATAAGCCCATGGCAGACGTTTGGAAAATTGACCCGTTTTAATTATTTAAAAACAAAAAACATAACACAACATCGAATTTCATATACCATCTACAATTCAGTTATATCCAAACATTCTAAGACCAAACAGAGTCCCCTGCCCAGAAGCAGGAGGTTACGAGACGCTGAGGACACACGAGGGTGATGCTGCAGATCAGAGTCCGGAAGCAGTCTTCCATTCAAACACACTCCGCTGTTCTTCCTCTCAGTTTGTTAAAGAAAGTGTTTTAAAGGAAGTTCTTTAAAATAATTCTGTCCCAGAGACCAGGTTTCTTCAGTGATACACAGCTCCATGAATTTTGTATTTTTGACCGATCGACAGGAATAAAAAATAATTTTTGTCTCTTTTTTTTTTTGGTGGTACAGAGAAGTAAAACTCTCAGTCGGATTCTTTTAGTAATAAGTGAAGAAAAAAAAAGAGAAAAAGGATGTGGGCCGTGCTGGGGCTGGGGCTGGCTTCCGTCTTCCTGAGGGTGTGACTTCAGGGCCAAGTCACACTTACCCACTACAGTGATTAGGGTTAGTGATCTCTTCTTAGGTGATAATAAGGAAAATACCCAACGAACATAAAAATGGTCAAAAGGTTGTGTTTTCTTTTTTTTTTTTTTAACCACAGGTCAATTTTTCCCCCCAACAAAGATACAAAATGAACAGAGAATTGGGATGGTAACCCCACTGGGCACCCCACTTCACCGTGTGCGACCCCCACAGCGGGAAGGGAGCAGCACTAGGCTGTATTAGTAATGTTATGGTAGTAACCAGATGCGTTAATGGCAGCTTATCTGAGGTCCACTGATCCTCTGAATACGTGGAGGAAAGCGTGGCTGTCGTTCTCCGACTGCCCACATCTGAACACATTCAGCTACCATGGAAACTACAAAGGAAGGAAAAATATATTTATTCCAAAATCCGTTAACCTGGATTTTTAAACGCCCTTTCTTCCACAGAAGCCCAGAGTGCTGGCAGTGTGCTAGGGGCTGCTGTGTTTTCCAGCGTGAGCTCCCATCCGCTGGGGGTCCTGAGAAGGGTAGTGGATTGGTCCTGGCGCCCTCATGAAAGGAGGGGGTGGTCCCATTGGATGGAACATGTGTGGGCCAAAACCTGCAGATGGGAGAGAATAAATGTGTTAAGCCTGTCGTTCCCTTGACAACCTTTCAAACCTCTGAATCTTTCTAAGGTCAAAACCACCTACACGTAAATCAAGGCTGATGTGGGGCATAACGTAAATGTCGGCTCACAGACTTGTTTAAGTCTCTACCTGTGTTAGTTTCTTGGTTTCCACCACCTTTCTCTGAAGTCCAGAAAACTCCACAGGACAAGGTACCCACAAGTATGTCATCGGAAGCTCTGCTTATATCAAACATGTTGAATCGTACTAGGCAGGATACCAGCAGGATTTGGGAGATGAGGAAGAAATGGAACAGATGGCAAGACCCTGTCATATTAACCCCAATGCCTGACACCAGAACTGGGGGTGAGGGCAGGCCCTCTGCACCGGCCAACGGCTATTTGTGATTTCCTGACATCGTTCACACTGTCGCCAGCATCCTCTGGAGGAGTGACACACAAGGTGCTGATCCTCACCTGTTTATTATTACTGGCCACCAACAGGACAGTTTGAACCAAAATGTACCTCCCCACATGACCAAGCACACTGTGTAGTTATCTGACCATATTTTTATAACTATATTTTCATAATGCAGGAAGTGGCTCGTTGATTTACATCCTGGCACAAGTTCCTTATCTTGTCACAGACAAGTAATAAACACTTTGGGAAATGACACCCACCTACAACCCACACTTGGAGCAACAGTCCTCTAGGACGTATGTCAGGATTAAGTTTAGAACAGGGAACAAACTGTGATAGATCACTGTAACCCAGTCAGTCCTATTCTGATTATACATGTGCTTAGACGTATATACTTATACTTAGATGTGCTCAGAAAACTGGCACCTTTCTCTGGCAGGCCAAGAAAAATAAAATCAGGAATCGCAATATATCAGGCTGACTTGTAGATTTCTACAGGGTGAACTCAAAGGAGGCAAGTGCCTCAGACGTGATGCTAAGGTGGAAGACAGGACTCTCACAAGGACTTCTCTGGGCTAAGGAGAAGATGAACGTTACCTGGGGGTGGGGGCGGGGCAATGCCAGGGGGTGGCGGCAAGGCGATGTTCACCACAGCTGGGGGGCCACTTGGGGGGAGGTTGAAGTAGTTGGCAGAGGCTTCTTCTTCTGCTGCAGGAGGGGGAGGAAGAGCTGGAGGGGAGAGAACAGCCAGCACTTAGAATGGGAGGAACTGTGCCACATTGTTTCCACCACCTGTACACCCTCCCAGGGCCTGCTGAGAGAATGGAGCTGCTGCAGGAGTTGGAGCCAGGTCCGGTCCTCTTAGAGGAATGGGGCAGACTGGACTTGTGACGTCGGCAGAAAGTCCGCACTTACCTCCTGGAAGTCCTGGAACGGGCTCGAGCTTGATCCCAGAGTCTGTGGTTCCATCCTTCTCCTTTTCTTTTCCTCTGGCTGCCTGGGATCTGGAAGACACACGTGCACACAGATATCAGCACTTTGTCCCACCTTATCTCACCTCTGCCTCGCAGGATCTGTAGTCAAATGGCGTTTCTTCGCTCCTTGCCTCTACAGCAAACACTCCTTTCCCCTAAATGCCACAGTGCACAGTGAATAAGACCAAAGGTTTTGAAGCCAGATAAGGCCGGGGTTCAAAACTTGCTAGAACTGTCATAAGAACTTGAAGAGGAAATATCTGTTGTACACAATGCTAGCATGTAGGACGCTCTCCATAAAAGGAGCTGCTGCCATTAGCCATCTCCTCCCCGGTTCTAAGGTAGAAACACACCCCACCTTTTAACTTTCAGGGCGTTTTCCTGTGCTTCTCTTGTGCAATCATTGCTTTTACACTTAAAATCACTGTTTTATCTTCTCCACTAGGCAAGCAGCTTCTAAGGGCAAAATCGATTTTTAATTAATTTATAAACCCTCAAATCTACCTTTCATGCCCTGGCACTATACTTGGCCTGGTCACAAAAACATGAGGCTTCCAAGGAGCAGATTTGTACAGCAAAACCCTGAATGTACTTCCAAAGCAGAATTCTCCCAACCTCCAGAGGAACCAAGCATCAGTCACAGAATGAAACAAAAATTCTTCAGAAGATCTTGTTAAGTATATTTACTAAAAGCTTACACATATCCAGATAATCAAATAGTTTCTTAAAGATCTCAATAAAGATGTTTAAAGATACCCTAATTCTCACCTTCCCCATTTCACGTTGAGTCTGCGGCCATTGACAATCAGCTTATTAAAGGACTTCTCAGCGGCCACTTCTGCAGCCTGCCTTGTGGCAAACTGGATGAAAGCACACTGCTGTCTCTGCACGACAGTGATCGTCCGGATCTCTCCAAACTGGTAGAAGTGATTTCTGAAGGAACACAAGCAGAGGAAAACTGAACTTAACAAGGCAACATTACCAGGAGGTTGGAAATGGATGATTAGCACTTCCGCTGACGCACCACAAGGCAGGCGAGCCCTTGGTCATCTGCCCAACCACCTGCAGGTATTTGCAGACAAGATATGCCCCCCATATCTTGTCTCATTGTGGGTACTGCTTATTAAGAGATGCAAAGAAAAATAATAAAGAGTAAAATAAAGCTCTCAAGGGGCCAGTAGGTGGCGTAGTGGTTAGGGCACTATACTCCCACGTGGCGGACCACAGTTCAAGTCCTGAATCTGGTGGCTTGCTTTCTCTCTCTCTCTCTCTCTGGTCCAATTGAATAATAATAGTAAAAAATAAAAATTAAATGAAAAATTCTTTAAATAAAATGTTCTCGAACATCTCAGTGTTCTTCCCAGGGAGGAAAGAGGGCTCTAAAAGGTTCCTTAAGGATCTAAAGCCCTAAACCCTAGATAAGGGGTTAGTAAACTACTACAGATCTCATGGCCCAAGAGCCAAGAATGTTAAAAAAGACAGAAAAAGATGATATGACAGATACTCTATGTGGCCCACAAAGCCTAAAATATTTACTATCTAGCCTCTTATAGACAACCCCTAGGGATTGTCTCGCTCTCAGCTAGGGCTGAATGGCGAAAGACTTCCCAGGGCAGGTTATAAACTCCCAGGAGTTTCTTCTCCACTTTGTCTCTTTGGAAGAGCTAATGCCCACTGCATCTGCCCGGGTGTCCCAGCTAGCCAAGCATAATACAAGCCAAAAATAATACAAATTTATCAAATATCAGTCTCTTTTAAAAGTCAACTGTTTAGGGTCTAGCAGTTGGCATAATGGCTATGTCGCTGGACTCCCATGTAGTCGACCGCAGTTCAAGTCCCGGACCCAGTGGCTTAAACTCACATTGGGCACATGTGCATGCGTGCCCAAGATCCTGAGAGGAGAATGGAGAAAGGACTGTGGTGTAGCCATCCCCCTGGGGGTGATTGCTCGTTTTGTGTGTCTCTTTCTGGTGAGCACAAGTGCCCTACAGGAAAAACCTCTCAAAAAAAAAAAAAAAAAAAAAAAAAATTAACAGTTTAAACCATGAGTTTTATAATCACAAAGCCCTTCCTCCCCTACATAATTTATTATACTTAAATGTGTGTCCTCATTTAAAAGTTCTAATTGGTTAGCAGGTCAAACAGAACCTCAGGTAATTACCACAATAAGCAAGGACAAGAAAAAAACAAAAAGAAACTCTCGGTAAGCATTACTACTCTGGCATCATAAGGGAAAATTTTATAACAATTCTAGTCAGCATAATATACGTACTAACCAAACAGTGGCTCAAGAAACACATACTTTATACAGAAATCATGTTTGCCTATGTTTTGCAAATAAATTATCCCAAGGCAGCTAAAAGCAAAAAGAGGTCTAGAAATTACGACACAAACCTCAGATCTGTCTCGGTAATGGTATCACCCAGACCGCCCACATATAATGTGGTGATAGTCTTGTCCTCGGGTGGGTCCAGACGAGGCATGGTTGACGCCCGCTTGAGAAGCTTATCTGCCACGGGGTCATTGATTCCATAATACCGGTCTTTAATATTCTGATCAGCAAGAGGGTCATCTGGATCTGTAGGCTTCTCGTGTCTACGGTTCAGGAGAGAACAATGCATGAAGGTCAGCAAAGGGAAAAAACATTGGTATCACCAAAAAATAGCTACATAACTAAAGTCCCAAATACATACCCTGAAATATCTTTCAAGTTAGAAACTATGGCCATGCCAACGTATTAGGTCGTTGGGAAAGTCGTGATGCATTTTTGCATAAAAAAAGTCACAACTTTCCCAACGACCTAATACAATTATCAAAATACAGCTAATGCCAAGAGTGATGGCTTGAATGTGTCCCTTCAAAATTCATGTGTTGAAATTTGATAAGCCACTGTGATGGTATTAAGAAAGCGGAAACTTAACCTGACTATGATATTAACAGATGGGGCTTTTGGGGAGGTGACTAGGGCTAGATGAAGTCATCGGAGTAGACCTCTCAAGACAGAATCCTGGTGGCTTTATAAAGAGGAGGAGACACAGATATGGACACGCTTGCCGTCTCACCATGTGATGCCCCGTGCCATCTTAGGATTCGGCGGAGTCACTCAGAACAAGACCCTTACCAGGTGGGAGCCTCCTGACCTGAGAGCTCCAAAACCATTTGCTCAATATGATTCTATTCTTTAAAAAAACAGCCAGTTCATTCATTCATTCTTTTTAATTCGCCAAAGGGCGTGCTGCCCAACATCTATGTTATGGCCTAGCTATTTAGTATCCTACAATTAGATAATAAGTGAAAACCCCAATTTAAGCAAGCTCTTATGGCTTTAAAAGTCCTGAGACATGAGATACATCACACTGGTTGGGTGAGCTTCAGATTTTAAAGCAGAAACAGTTTAAGCTAATATGCCACCATCTTGGATGACTAATCAAACACTGAAATGCAGCTCAGTCCTTGCCTGTATGGACACTCCTCTCCTCTCTTACACTCTCCTTTCACCCAGAAGGAGCAAATGTGGGGTCGGTTCCTTTTGTAGTAGGGTGTGGTCCGGGCCAATTTGAGCAGCATGTCACTGGTGGAAGTAGCTTTTCCCAGCATGCCAACTGGCCGTGTTCCATCAGAGTTAGAAATCTACATGGGGATGACAAATTCAAAAGATCAATGTCAAAGGCTGTGCCTCATTAAATATAACACTACATTAAGAAAATAGCAGCATACCTCTCTCTCCATATTCTGGGTGTAGTATTCTTTGTTGACATCTGACTTTGGCATGTCATCTTTAAAAGACAATCCTGCGTCTCGAACCTGGATGGGCAGGCCTGGTCAAGGGAAGGGGGAAAACCTCACATGTATTTCAAACCATGGCCATTCGGAGTAAGCATGCAGAATACATCATCACCCTGCCCTTCTCCATTTCCTATCCAACACCAGAGACTTTTCAGTAGCCTCAGACTAACAGTGCTCATAGCATTCTGAGCAAACATCCATGTTACTAGGCTGTCATGAAATTTAGCAAAGTGAGTGCTTCAGAAAATACTTTAGATGACAAAACTAAACCTGTGAATTAACAAGCTATCTAGTTTTTATTGTAACACAATTTATTTAAAATAAATGGAAAAAGGCTAGCCCTAGAGAGTTTCTGCATTGTCACAGTCATGTAAGTGTCCTTGCATTCCAGGATTAAATGTCTTCTTAACAAGAAAACAAATATTAAACAAAAAGTAGCCAGGATTCTGATTAGGAGAGTAACTTTCTAAATTTAATATCCACTAGCTCATACATTTCTTCCTTTTCCTTTTTTTTTCAGAGGGGAGGTTTTTGCTCTAGGGCGCGTACACTCACCAGAAAGACACAGAGCGGGACCAGCAGGTAGCATGGTGGTTAAGGTGCTAGACATTCCTACATGGTCAACCACTGTTCGAGTCCTGGACCTGGTGGCTTGCTTTCTCACTTTTCCTGTCTCTCTCTCTGTCTCTCTGTGTGTCTCTCTCTGGTCAAATTAAAATGAATGAATAAATAAAATTAAATAATAATAATAATAATAATAATAATAATAATAATAAAAAAAACACAGAGAGACAGAAAGTGAGAAATCACCCCCCAGGGGGGATAGCCAGGTTGCAATCCCTTCTACTCCATTCTCCTCTTGGGGTCGTAGGCACGCACACACATGTGCCTGGCCTGAGTTTAAACCACTGGGTCCAGGACTCAAAGCGTGTAGGACAACATGGGAGTCCAGTGACATAGTCATTGCACCAACTGCTGGTCCCCATACATTTCTTTTTTATTATATATAGAAAATAGTAGAAAAAATTTTTTAACTTTTTTTTTATTTAACTTTTTTATTTAACTTTCTCTTATTTAACAGAGAACACATGCACGCACCAAAAAGGAGAGGAAGAGATAGGCCAAGAGAAAGAGGTAGAGGAAGAAAATAACCCCCAACTGTGCATGGTTATACCACAATTCCTTTCCTCCAATTCTCCATCCCATCAGGACCCTGGGTATGCATGCATACACACACGCATGTGCACATGTACGCACATACACACTCAGCGTGTCTTTCAAGCCACCAGGGCCAGGATTAGAATCATGGGCAACGATGTGGGATCTGGAACTGAGAGTCTTCAGGGCCAGCCCAGAAAACTTTTTTTGGTAAATTATTTTTCATAAAAACAAAAAGTAGGGGGAACAGCAGGTGGCGTGGTGGTTAAGGTGCTGGACACTCCCACATGGCCAACCACGGTTCAAGTCCTGGACCTGGTGGCTTGCTTTCCCACTTTCTCTCCCTCTCTCTCTCTGTCTCACTCTGGTAAAATTAAAATAAATGAATGAATAAATTAAAGAAAAAAAAGTAACCTATAGTTACTTTAAAAAGAAAAAAACCCTCACTGTCCAAAGCCATTATTCTGAAGCAGTAGCAATAGAATTTAGTTGAGACTAAATCTAAAGCACAAGCACAGTTAGCCTATGAGTTTCTGGTTGAGACTTAAAAAAGAAGCTGTGCATCAAGAAGAAAATCCAAGGCAAAGATAGGACCTGTCCTGGGATCAATGCCTTTACCTCACTGTGGATACAGAAAGGGAGTTGTAGGCTAGTTCTAGAGAACTCCTAACTTTCCTTTAAGTTCCAACTATTGTTCAGCAGAATGCTAGAGAGGTTTATCTGGTTCTCTTCCTGGAAGAAGCAGACATTCCAAAGTGGGATGAGAAGCAGAAGTAACGTGAGCAGTGGGAGGCAAGAGAACTGGTTTGTTATGCTGGGCACCTGCACTCTTTCAGGTTTAGGGGATGGGAGAACTGGGAGACAAGAAGACTAGTTTGTTGCGCAGGACACCTGCATACTCTGGATTTACAGGACAGGGCAGACATACCATATTCTAAGTCTAAGAGGCAAGTCTGACAGACATTCTTCAATTTACTGCAGGTTTGGCACACTTCGGTCTTCTTAAAACGCATGCGGACCCCAGGGCACCAACGAAACACTGTGAATGGCCTGGCACAAATCTGGAACACAAAGCAAGAGCCACAGAGTGTTGACAGATCTGAGATGGACAATCCATCCAGGAGATTTATTAACAAAATGGAATTCAAAAGAGGATCCCTGAATCCAAGAATTAGAAAAGACCGTAGCAATCATCTAGTTTAAATGTCATATGACACTTTAATCTGCTATATCCTTTCCCAGCAGTTAAAAGTCACATGGGGGAGGGACCAGCAGTTAGCGTAATGGCTATGTCGCTGGACTCCCATGTAGTCGACCGCGGTTCGAGTCCCGGACCCGGTGGCTTAAACTCACGCCGGGCGCGTGTGCGTGCGTGCCCAAGATCCCAAGAAGAGAATGGAGGAGAAGGGATTGCAGCATGGCCATCCCCCCGGGGGGGTGATTTCTTGCTTTCTGTCTTTATGTTTCTGTCTTTCTGGTGAGCGCTCTATAGCAAAAACCTCTCAAAAAAAAAAAAAAAATTCACATAGGGCCCAAGCAGGTGGCATGGCGGTTAAGAGTGCTGGATTTCCACATGGTCAACCGCAGTTCAAGTCCTGGAACTGGCGGCTTGCTTTCTCTTTTTTCCTTGCTTGCTCTCTCTGAAGTTTTTTTTAAAAATTATAAGAACAAATGGAATTAAATAAATATATATGTATTTTAAATTCATAGTACAGGAATGAAATATTGAAACGCCAAAGCTCCCTCCCAAGAGGTAAGCACCATATATAACTTGACCCTGAATCTTTTTTGTGGGGGTGGGGGAAAAAAGCAGCATAATCTTTTGAGACTCAGATGACATCCTGACCTTCTCAGCTTAAATGCTCACACGCACAGTCGTGCAACACTCTGCAGTATACTCAGGGTAGTCAATGCCCATCTACGAACACCAGGGTAGAATCCCTGTACATCACAGCACTTACTTTCTGACCTCCCACACCAGCCAATGAAAATGTCAACGATATATGAAAGTCATATAGCACTGACTTTTTTGGAGTTGGCAGGTTGAAGGCTCGTTTGGAAAAGGAAGAGAAAATAAGAGATATACTTACTTTGCATTCCTTCCCATATTTTTCTTTGGTCTGCGATAGGAAAAAAAATAGGAGAGAGCTAGAGTTACAGAAAGGAAAAAACCAGATGTCTGCTTTTTCTAAATATAACCAAAGAAAAAGCAGTCTTTCACGGGGGTGGACGTGGGGTGGGAGGAGATTCTAACCATGTACTATGGGTTATAGCCTCTCTACGGATCTAATATCAGGTGAGTGGGTCTTTCCATAGCCACAACTCTTAAGTCCCGTTCTGGCTCCCAAGTTTGCTCCCAAGAACCAAATTCTTAATGGTTTCCGCTGTCCCCAAATCAAGGAGAATTCTGCCATAGTCAGCCCATTTTACAAGGCTTAGTTATTAAGGTGGGAACAGCAGACAGCATAATGGTTACATCGCTAGATTCCCATGTAGTCGACCCTGGTTCAAGTCGTGGACCCAGAGGCTTGAAACTCATGCCAGGTGCATGTGTGTGAGTGCTCAAAATCCCAAAAGGAGAATGGAGAAGGGATTGCAGTGTGGCCATCCCCCCGGGAAGTGATTTCTTGTTTTCTGTCTGTCTCTCCAGCGAGTGCAAGTGCCCTATAGCAAAAACCTCTCTCTAAAAAAAAAAGAAAGAATGTTTAGTCATAAGGTAACTACTACAAACTCCCCCTGTGCTAATGTCCTGTGTAAATGATCTGTTGCTATAAACCCAACTTTTTCAGCATCAGAGACTGGTTTTGTGGAAGACAATTCTTCCATAAACGGGTGGGGAGAATGGTTTATGAAAGTGTGTACCCTAGACCCCTCGCACGTGCAGTTCAAGACAGGGTTGGCACAACTCTGAAAATCTAATGCCACCACTGATCTGACAGTGGTGGACCTCAGGCAATACGTGAGCAATGGGGAGCAGCTGTAAATATAGATGAAGCTTTGCCTGCCCGCTGGCCACTCACCTTCCGCTATGTGGTCTGGTTCCTAACAGGCCCTGGACTGGTACAGGTCTGTAGCCCAGGCATTGGGGACTCCTGCTATAAGCTACTCAAACCCTTGAACATATAAACAGATCAGTATCTCTGAGAGTGATCACACTAATATAGCTCTAACCTATTTATTACTAGCTGTCACTAATTTATCCTTATTTATAAAGGATGAGGATACCTTATGTTAAAAGACTACAAGGCTCAGTGACCAGAAGGTATCTGACGAGGGGTCAGGAATCCCAGTTTCTAGCCCTGGTTCTCCTAACTTGTTGTGGTCCTTGGAGTCAGAGTATCTGAACTTAAACCCCAGCTCCACTCCTTGCTTGCTAAATGAAAAGACAAACTCTCAGCATCTAGTCCCATAGACCTACTTCCTAGGTAAATGCTCAGAAAAGATGAACTATTACTATGACTCCTACATTACACGATTGTCACTTAAATCCTATGCGAAAGAATGTGCATGACAGCCCTTTGCAAATAAGCCCTTCGCTTTGGGTAAATAAAAGAGCATCATTTCTTCCACTTGACTAAAGAAACACTTCACAGAGGATGGACCAGTACCACGACTTTGACAGAACACACACAAGTCACTCCTGCTTCACCAGCGATCACTCACCATTCGGATATATGGGTTTTCTCCAAGACACGTCTGGCACAGAATGGGAAAGTCCTAGTGAAAATGAGAAATCTGGCTGAGCACCTAGCTCCGAGGACCCTGCCCTCTCCGTTACACTCGGTAGGGGTGGGGGTGGGGAGCGAGGGAGAACAAGGCAGGGCAGGAACCCCAGGTCCAGCACGGGCCAGGTCGCGGGACGGGGCGCTGTCTGCACTTCCGGCAGGTGGCAGGAGAAGAGAAAACCAGCTCGGAAAGGCTGAAAGCACCAAGGATGAAAGGCGGGCTGGCTCCCGGCCCCTGGTTAAGCCCCCTCCGTCCACGCCTGCAGCAGGGCCGCCCTGCAGCCTCCTGTTCCGGGCGAGCTGGGCCGCAGCCCGGGCGTCCTCCCGGAGTTCCCACGGCCGCCCGGCAGCCCCCGTCCCGCCCGCCCGCAGCAGGCCGGGCTGCGGCGCCGCCTTTCGCCGCCCTGGGCAGGCACACTCACCGCATCCTCCCAGTTCTGCCTGTTGTAGGTGTTGGAACCCAGAGAGGTCGCCATCTTGAGAGCGTCCGGAGGCAGCGGAAGCTTCCGAGTTGAGAGAGAGGACCGCCACAATCCCGTCGGGCCCCGCGGCTGGCGCCCGGCCTGCTGACGTCATATTTACGCGTCTAGTACCACCTCCGGGACGGGGTGGGGCCCTCGCGTCATGACGTCATGCGCTCTTGGCATTTCTCCGCGTTTAGCAGTTGAAGTCCTGGTACGTAACCCTGAGGCTGCCTCGGCTGGGGGTCCGCTCTTAGGGAGGAGACGCCACGAGAGTTGACTTACTTAAAAACTGGGCAAAAGAATGAAGGAACAAGAAATGAACGAGGGTTAGGACTCAACCAGCATGAGCTGACTCTGAGCACGTCTGCCAAACGCTGGGCGAACGTCTCGCGGTGCCGGTGTCTCATTCCGTTCTCACAGTAGCTTCCCTGTAGGGTTGCCAGCTTGGCCAAACAGAAATTCAAAACGTCAAGCGAACGTGGAATTTCGGACAACGGGTCTTTTTAAAAGTATAAATATGTTTGGGCCATACTTTGAAATAGGACCCGTTTATCTGAAATTTACATTTAAAAGTAGGAGTCCTGTATTTTTTCTGGCAACTCTACCTTCTATGCAAGTATGGTAATCCCTCTTTTGTAAGAAAGGAAACCGAGGTTTAGAGAGATTAAATAACCAACTCCTGGTCGTGGAGGTAGAAGATGGTAAACCCACACATAACAGTACTATTTTCCCAACTTCTGAAATGAAAAGGGTCTTAAGGATCGACACATAGGCTGTTATTTCATTTCGGGGGACAACGCATAGCCACTCTGACAATATTTTATGAATTTTAAGCCGTTCTGGTACTGTCATAGTTGACCTAGCCAATCATCCAACTGCTTTAATATGTCTGTTTAAATCTCATCTTTTTAAAAAGTCAGATGCAGTGAAAGTATAAAGTTTTATTTCTTGGGAACCAGCAGTTAGCGTAATGGCTATGTCGCTGGACTCCCACGTTGTCGACCGCAGTGACTTGAAACTCACGCCGGGCACGTGTGCGTGCGTGCCCAAGATCCCGAGAGGAGAATGGAGAAGGGATTGCAACGTGACCATCCCCCCTGGGGGGTGATTTCTCGCTTTCTGTCTCTCTGTCTCTCTCTGTCTGTCTGGCGAGCACATGCGCCCTATAGCAAAAGCCTCTCCAAAAATAAAAAAGTTTTATTTATTTATTCTATGAGTGACAGAGAAGGCACCCCCAGCAAGGTCTCAGTACTGCCATTCACCCACCTGCCTCAACTAGTCCCAGATCAAGGTCATGCCCATTGTTCTCAAGGAAGTCAGGATGAGAACCTGGAACCTTCTCATGTAAGTCAGCTTTGCAGAGCAATCCAATTTAAGCTACACTACCATCTGGCCCTCTAAAGTATCATGTACATACTAAATGTTGCCCTCTTTAGTTGTGCAGTTAAGAGTTTTTACATAAATTCACCACAACTCTAGAACAGTTTTAGTCAACCCCAAAGGTTCCCTGTGCCTGGAGTCAATGCGTTTATCCTCCCACTCGGCCTATGCAACAACTGATATGTGTTCTGTCCCTGTATTTTTGCCTTTTCCAGAACATCGTTTTTAAAATAATTATTTATTTTTATTTATTGTTACTTATTTTTTTAATTTGACAAGAGAGGGACAGAGCGAGAGAGCAAGAGAGAGAGAGGGAAAGCAAGAAAGCAAGCCTCCAGGTCCAGGACTTGAACCGCATCCTTAACCACCATGCCACCTGCCAGCCCTCTAAAATATCTTTTTTTTTTTAAATTAGAGTTTGTACCTTTTATTTTGAAAATTACCAAGCTGTGGTGGAGGGAGATTATAACTTTTCAATCTACTAAAAGAATAAAAAGAAAATGTCACATGGGTCCTTTGCTGTGTTGTGTTACTAGCCCAGAATGGTAATTCACATAACAGCAAAACTCATTTGTCAAATTCTGGGTGTGTCGTGGAATAAACTTGCACATCTTTTTTATTTTTTATTTTTATTTTTTGAGAGGTTTTTGCTATAGGGCACGTGCGCTTGCCAGATAGAGAGAGACAGAGAGACAGAAAGCGAGAAATCACCCCCCAGGGGGGATGGTCACACCACAGTCCCTTCTCCTCCATTCTCCCCTTGGGATCTTGGGCACGCACGCACATGCGCCCGGCATGAGTTTTAAGCCTCCGTATCCAGGACGTGAACCATGGTCGACTACGTGGGAGTCCAGCGACATAGCCATTATGCTAACTGCTGGTTCCCAAAACTTGCACATCTTCACTCCAAGGAGTGTTGTGCTTGTTCTTCCATAATGCACCTGTGCACAGCAGAATCTTGCCCCGAGTCAGGTACTTGATGGTTTCTGATGTTTTTCTGAGACATTCTTCAGAAAGATAATGGAGGAACTGCTATTATGATGTCAAAACTATGCACAACAACTTTGGTAAATCCAATGGGTTATTGTAGTCGTAGAAGATAAACTCTTCTCCATACACTACAAATCCTTTGTTATATTTGGAGATGAATACAGAAGAGTCTCCTCTGTGTAGCTCTCTGCGCTTCTGGTAAACACTGGGGGCACTCACACAAGCTACTCCAGTTCTCTATTATTCCAATGTTACACTTATCATCCCCACCTGGGCTACTTTGTTGCTTCTGTTCAGCATAAAATTCCTGGAGAGCTGCTAACGTGCAGGTGGGAGAGCCAGGGGATACCGTCATCTTCTGAGTCACTCATTTCACAACTCTATGACCTGATCTCATGTGACGGGCCCCAATAGAAACAGCCATGGAAACAGCCATGCGTGTGCAGTCACCTAGAATGTCTTATACATGTAATCCTATACATGGCTTTTGAGGCCCAGTTTCTTCCTCTTGTTCGTATTGTACTTGAGATTCATCCATGTTGTTACTCGTATCAGTAATGTGTTTCTTTTTATTGCTGAGTAGAATTCCATGGTATCAATTTATCAGAGGGTTTGTTTTTTTCTTAATTCATTTGCCAAATAATGGACATTTGGATTGTTTCTAGATTTTAAGGTTTTTTTTAAGTTATTTATTTAATTATATTTATTCAGTCAGTCATTTTCATTTGACCAGAGAAAGACAGACACAGAGAGAGGAGGAAAGTGAGAAAGCAAGCCACCAGGTCTGTGACTCGAACTGTGGTTGGCCATGTGGGAGTGTCCAGCGCCTTAACCACCACGCCATCTGCTGGTCCTAGAGTTTAAGTTTGTTACTTTAGAGAGCCAGAGATTAACAGCACCCCAACAGGGTATTAATACTGTGATCCACCCCCCAGATCTAGCCAGCCCTGGATGGGCACATGCATGCCGGCATACTCAGGGAGGTCTGTGGAGGTGAACTGGGAGATTTCCTATGTGGTTCAGCCTCACACAGTACAACATCTCACCTGGCAGAGATTGGAAAGAGCCTGAGTGTGCAAGCTAGCCCTCTCTGTGTCTTAGGCTCCCGGGTGTATTTTACTGTCATGTTAACTCTTATTCGACCTGCAGCAATTCTTTAGTATTTGGTGATTTCCTCTCACCTGCTTGTATGGTGGACACTTCTTTCTCCCACATTCTTCTGTAGCTGAAGTAGTTACATGACTTCTGTCTCCTTGGAGGCATCTGTCTCTTCTTGCAATTTAGGCTATTTGACTGCCTTGCCATAGCTGCTCACTGATAGATCCAAGAAAATGTGTAATTTTGTCATCTGTCCACTTTTGTTTTTGTTTGAGTGGAGTGAGAGGTTTTTGCTATAGTGCGTGTGCACTCACCAGAAAGACAGAGACAGAAAGCAAGAAATCACCCCCTGGGGAGATGGCCATGCCATAATCCCTTCTCCTCCATTTTCCTCTTGGGATTTTGGGCACCCACACACATGTGCCCAGTGTGAGTTAAGCCACCAGGTCCAGGACTTGAACCATGGTCGACTACATGGGAGTCCAGCGACATAGCTGTTATGCCAACTGCTGGTCCCAGTTCATGTAATTTCAATGTATTATAAGAGGATGTTTCTAGCATTTCTGTAAATGGAAAAGTAGTATCACATGCTTACCTGTAGCCTGAAAAATAAGTGTAATGAAAATGAAACTGTTCTTGGGAACCAGCAGTTAGCGTAATGGCTATGTCGCTGGACTCCCACGTAGTCAACTGCGGTTCGTGTCTCGGCCCCGGTGGCTTAAAACTCACGCCGGGCGCGTGTGCATGCGTGCCCAAGATCCCGAGAGGAGAATGGAGAAGAAGGGATTGCGGCGTGACCCTCCCCCCTGGGGGGTGATTTCTCGCTTTCTGCCTCTATGTCTCTCTCTGTCTGTCTGACGAGCACACGCGCCTACAGTGAAAATCTCTCCAAAAAAAAAAGAAAAAATGAAACTGTTCTTAAGTGAGTGGTACTGTTGCCAAAAGTCTTTTTTAAAGTGTTACATGTTACAAACATGAATAGATACAAACATGTTATAAACATTATAAATAGATACAAACTATTAAGAACTGATATTGGGATCAGCAGGTGGCATGGTAGTTAAAGAATTCAACACTCCCACGTGGCCACTACGGTTTAAGCCCTGGACCTGGTGGCTTGCTTTCTCACTTTCTCTCTCCTTTTTTTTTTTTTTTTTTTGCTATAGGGCACGTGCGCTCACCAGACAGACAGAGACAGAGAGATAGAAAGGGAGAAAGCACCCCCCAGGGGAGATGGCCATGCCACAATCCCTTCTCCTCTATTCTCTCGGGATCTTGGGCATGCACGCACATGCGCCCAGCGTGAGTTTAAGCCACCGGGTCCGGGACGCGAACCGCAGTCAACTACATGGGAGTCCAGTGTCATGGCCACTACGCTAACTGCTGGTCCCCCTCACTTTTTCTTCCTCTTTCTCTCTCTGTGTATCTCTCTGGTCAAATTAAAATTAATTAATAATAAATAAAAGCAAATAAATAATTCTTAAAAAAAAAAAAAAAGAACTGATACTGTTTCCTTTATTTAACCAGAAAGGGATGAGAAGGAAACAACTCTCTCACTGTTTCATCCCATAATACCTAATGTTACTTTTCACTTTTTTTTTTCTTTGTATGCACTAGCAGGAGACAGAGAC